TTGCAAGCTGCCGGCCCAGATCCCCGGAGGCCCGCGCTGCGGCCACGTCCCAGGGTCCGACCTCGGAAGATCCCCCAACCGGCCAGGTCTCCAGCTCCCAGGGCTTTGGGGCCCCAGCGCTGACGGCCCAGTGCAGGGCGGTGTCCAGACCCCGGGAGGGCTGTGCAGGAGGGTCTCAGTGCCTTCCGGAACCAGTGCGCCTGTCCACGTGAGTGTGTGCAGGTGTGTGTGCACGCACATGAGGGTGTGTGTGCAAGCATGACTGCGTGGGCAGGTGTGTGCACGAGTGTGTGTGCACGTCCACATACGTGTGAGCATGAGTGTGCACAGGCAGGTGTGAGTGTGCGTGTGTCCACATGTGTGCGCGGGCGGGTGCTAGTGTGCGTGTCCACAGGCGAGCGTGCGTGCGGGGGCTGGGGATCAATCCCTGTGCCTCGCTGTTCCGACAGCTGCACCTGCGGCCGGAGGCCCGTCCCTCCCCCGATGTCCCAGTGCCCGGGAGTGTGTGGACCCCGGCAAAGCGGGCGAGGGTCCCCTGGGTGGTCCCCCGAGGTGCCCGGCGGGTGGAGGTGCAGACATTGCAAGGAGACCAGTCTTTCTCACTCTTTACTGTGTAAAAATAAACTCGACAATTCATGTTTCAGCAAGAAAAGGAGAGGAAGCAGGGAGACCAGTAGAAATGGTGCGTTTCCCGGTCGCGAGGGGAGGAGGCGGTCCCGGGGTGGCCCCGCGGTGGGGCCAGGGCTGCGAGTCGTATGAAAATGCTCAGCTGTGGTTGGCAAATAATGAAAAAGTGGGCACACCGATCTCTCCCGTATGCTACAGTGTGTGCACGGCAGCGTGGGTGCCGGGCTCCCTCCTCCACGCCTGTTCCCCTTCCGAGCCGCACGGGGCCGACGGCTGCCTCTTTCCCACGCCGTGACGCGAGAGGGGGCACCACACGCCACCGCTCCAGCCACGGCCTGGCCGCCGCGAGGTCACGGGACCCCATCCCCTTCCCGCGAACCACACCCCCACCTCGTTCCTTGAGGCCTCAACTTGGTCCACCCGACACGTCCACTCCGAGCCCCAGGCCTGGCCCATTCACATCCGGTCCCCACGCGCCCCCGAGCTCCCCGGGTGACCGCGAGGGGTGGCCGCGAACCTCGCGTCAGCCTCTCTCCCCTCCGCTGCCCACGAGACACCCCCTTGGTCCCAGGCCCCAGGGCTGGTGGCAAAGGGATCTTTGCGTCTGAGGAAGGAATGGGGGGGGGTCTACAAAAGCAGAGAAGAGAAGCTACAAAACGTGTCTTTCTCCCAACTGCGCGCTTTCAGCCCAGCGTGGCGGCGGAGCCTGAAGGTAGTGGCCGGGGAAGATAGATTGAGTGGATTTCTGGGTTTGTCCTTTTCTTTCATAAAAATACTCTTGTTTTGGTAATAAACTTTGTCTTCTACAGTAAGAGAAAGAATACCGTGTTATCAAAAGCAAGAAGGCTTACGATTCAAGTGGGATCTCAGGCCCCCACCCGGAGGGAGAGCCTGCGGGGCGGCGCTCCCGCCTGGGGCGCGGGGCCGTGGGACTGGGCGCCCCCACAGTGCGTCTATCTCCGTGTTTATAAAATGGCTTACCTGAGAAAGGCGTGGGTGTCAGTGTGAGGGGCGTCCGTCCGATTACGGAGGAGATGGGAACTAGCGGGTTAGATCTGGGCTGTGTCAGCCCCTCTCAGGGCGGCCGAGGGCCGAGTGTTAACACAGTGAGGGCGTCGAGGGGCTTGCACAGGCTCCGGGGAGGGCGGGGAGGGAGCTAAATGTCAGCTGGGGCCCCTGGCACCGCGGGGGCGTCAGGGGAGGGGTGGGCAGGGGAAGGGTCGGAGGTGGACACAGACGTAGCGTCTGTAGCTTCTGGGATGCTCTGCCCGTGGGGGTGAGGGCAGAGGATGGCTTGTGGTCCTGA